GTATTTTTAGGGGGAGAAATAAAATATTGAAAAACCAGGCTGGGGACTGGGCCTCATCGGCCGCGGCCGCGGCCGAGAATCTCGGCCGCAGCGGCCGAAATGCCCGCGGCCTAGGCCGCGGGTGTCACACCGTAGCGCGACATAGTGTTCGGGGCCGCATCGTCTTAACCAGTTATAAAGTTTATGATTCCTTTCCCCTCGCTCAACAACCTTATCACTACAGGCACGATATACGTGCTCACCCCATCGAACATCCAAAGAGCGACCTGTCGAACCTACTTAGCCGTGTTTATGCCAAGGAGAAAGAAGAACATACACTAGTGGGCCTTTGCAACGGAATAGATCCCCCTCATTCTTCACTATAGACAGTAGGTATGATCGAAAATTCTGAGCCCAAGGAACAAGGCCTCCAAGAATCAAGCAGAGAACTACAGCTTGGAAGAAAGCATTACATGCGGTACTCGTGAGAGAAGAGACAGACGAAGACCGGAAAGCACGACAATCTTTGGCAAACCCCCATAGTGTGCTCGCGTTTTGGAGTCCCATCAAGCCGAGTCTGACGGGACTTCTTCCACCACTGCGACATCACTATCAGCCGAAATAGCCTTACCTGGACGTTGTCCGGAATTAATCCTCTCACCGGTTTCACTGCTTCCACCGAATGCCCCTTCTGCGTATAGCTGTGCCAATTCCTCAACGGTAACTTCGATGGTCTTGTACTTGATACCTTCCTCTTGGCACAGCAATTCCAAACCAGTCTTCTTCAGGGCCTTCATTCGCTTCCTTTCATCCTGAAGAAAAACAAACTTGTCGTTGACACTTTTGGAAACTCCATCGGGTCGAGGCAGCCTACCAGGCGTCATCTTCACTCTTCCCTTTCTTCCCGTTTTGAAACCTGTCTTAGCAGCCTCCTCCATTTTGTCCTTCAGATTCGTCCCATGCTCCTTGGGTGTGCCACAACCAACTTCTTCAGTAGATAGCAGCTTCATTTTTTCTCTCAGCCGCGCGATCTCTGCCTCAGCGTCCGCTCTTCTTGCTTCAGCCAGTGCCCTCCTCTCCTTCAACATGTCCACCTCGGTCTTGTCACATCTTCGTAGCTCTTGCAAATCCTCGATCTCCTCACGTAGTCTCTTTGTAACGTCAGTTGCCGTTGTGGTTTTGGAGCGCGCCCCGGCCCGCCCTTCACTGACGGGGGTCGAGATGTTAATACTTCCACGTTTATTGCCCGGTCTTAAAGCTTCGCTCCGCCATTGCCCGGCCGACACCTCAGCAGCCTCATTGCGCTTCCGAAGCGCCTCCATCTCTGATCGCAGGTCTTCAATTTGCTTAGTAAGTTCACCCTTACCCATGATCTCTCGGTTCTCCTTCAAGTCCTTTATCTCCCATCTCAGTGCAGCCAAGTCACCCTCCATTTGTTGTTTTAACAGTGCCTCCTGCCTTTTCAACTCAGCATTTTCTCTTTGAAGACTGTCAACGAGCCCCGTCGACGGCAGCGCCTCCTTGATACCGTACTTAGCATGTAGATCCTCATTTTCGCGACGTAAGCGAGACACCTCATCATTATCAGTGCTGGTTCTTGCATTGTCAGCTCGTTTGCCCATGAGTGTCTCACACATACTGGCAAGCCGTCCCTCCAACCTCTGTCCCACTCGTTCCTCAAACTCTTCACGCTCTTTCTTGACCCGAGCAGCCTGTTCTTCTTCCTCGAGTCTTCTCTTCCCTTGTTCTTCAGCCTCCAGTTGGTCTCTTTCTTTCTGTTGAGCCCTGCTGACAAAGTCATTACACTTGTCCAGAATCTGCTGATTCCTCGACCACCACCCTGTTCGTGGCGCCTGATAAGTTGTAGTCGATGCTGATGCAGAAGCAGTAGTCGCAGCTCCTGCCGCCGGTAATGCCAGAATAGGCTCCGCATTAGCTCCCGTATCCACCGTATGTCGTTTGTTAACAGCCCTATGTGGACATTCCCTCGACCAGTGGCCATGTTGACCACAGTTGAAGAAAGCACCCCTAGGAACCGGGGCCGCCATTCAGTCAGACAACAGTAAATTAAATCCGAAAGGAGTAAAATAAGAGACAAGTAAGAGAGAAGGAGATCAGAGAAATATCACCCGTTGTCTGTTAGGTTCAAGTAAACGCAGCCACACTTTTGTAATCTTATTGTTACGGCGGATACACACGCGAATTGCTGGAAGGACAATTGTCATCCAAAGCAAACATACGACATACAACAGGCAATGATCCTCACACAGGGAGAGAGAGAGAGAGAGAGAGAGAGAGAGAGAGAGAGAGAGAGAGAGAGAGAGAGAGAGAGAGAGAGAGAGAGAGAGAGAGGAAGAGAGTAAAAAACAGATAGTCCCGATATCCCCGAAACGCGACCGAAAAGGCCGTAAAATTAAAAACTGTAAGCACTGCCAAACAGCGTTGGATAAACGTGAAAGTCCTGGCGCAGCGACCCTGGCGCAACGACCCTGGCGCAGCGACCCTACGCTGCGTTTCATCCGGCCGCCAAACCGGAATCATCAGGGGTCTTCTTCGAATCGCAAGGGAGAGGGACTAGACAAATAGAGCTAACAGGAATAAGTACTGTCGGAGGGAAAGATTAGAACTCTGTCGAAGGGACCAGAAAAGACGCAAGGAAGAAGGAAGGGAAGACTTATAGACTATCTTTGCCTTTAGGCCGAAAAGAGCCCAGATACAGAAACCAACAAACAGATCGAGACCAAGACCAGCGAACAGAACTAGACCGAGCATAGGCAAAGATAGAGAACCCTATTTTACCAACAGCCATCAGAAACATTGTCTAGCCACCACGTAGTTAAGACCCAGAAAGGCGTTCCGGGAAAAAGCGTTCCGAGAAAAAAAGGGAAAAAAAAAAAAAAAAAAAAAAAAAAAAAAAAAAAAAAAAAAAAAAAAAAAAAAAAAAAAAAAAAAAAAAAAAAAGAAGACAAAAAACGAAACAAACCAGGCACCAAAGAAAAAGAAGGTGAGTTCAAAAGTTGTCAATCTGCAAACGGGCCCCTGCCAAGGACCCTAAACACAATCTTCCCGCAGAACCTCTCCTCTTCCTGCGTACCAACAAGTGCTTCCTGGTCACACAGAGCCAGCCCTGAATTCTTAGATTCTACCTTCTTTTTTTTTTTCTTTTGTTTTTTTCCCCTTTTTCCCTGCGTTCTGCACATCCATACACCTCAACATTGGCTCATACAATTGACAAGTCGCAAGACCTTTCGTGAATGAATTTTCGCAAATTTTCAAAAAAAAATCCAAAAAAAACAGAAACGGAATTTTTATTTTTTTTATTTTTTATTTTTCCTTGAAAATCTGGGCGGTCGGTCCTCAGCCAGGAAGTGATAAGAGCATCTCCCTGTCTGAGGATCTTCCCTTAGATTACTCCGTTCCATTGGTGGGGAGCTGCACCTGCTGGAAATCGGGTCCAGCGTCCCTTACAATGAGCTGATAGAATGACAACAAGACAATTTCACAAAAGGAAGGATTCCGGGTCCTGAGGGAGGATGTGATCCTCCTCGTCCCACAGGTGACGGGAGAAGACGAACTGTTTGTTATCTAAAGCGAAAGCACTGAAACTCAGGGGCCCAAGAGCTGAGCATAGACTTCTGTGCCTCTGAGAGTGAGGGAGACAGAAATCTCACCTTTCTCCATTCTGCCAAGATTAGGATCCTAACTACACTTTTGAAAGAGTTGCGCAGGCGAGATACCGCCCAATGAGAGTTATTAAACCTCCGGTCTCTGCGATCTAACCATAAGAATTCAATTATATTAAAACCTTTGAGGCCGGGAATTCCTCACAAACAACCGGGATCAAACAACTGTTCATGCTGAACTCAATGTTCAGCTTCCTATCGTGAGGTTGACCCTCAACAACTCAACACCTGAATCTCAATGAATGAACACAACAAGACGGATTCCAGACTCGAGGCCCAGAAAGTGATAACAAATGGCCTTAGCCCGACTCCAACACCTCTCTAAATCGTCTATTCTACCCTTCCCCAACAACTCTACCCAGCTCATCTATCTGCCACCAACTATATCTCGGGGTACTGCCCCCGTGATCCCTACCTATTGCGGTAGGGCGGACCCTGGGTCCTTCTAGTCCTGGACACTCTCACTCCCTACTGTGGATAATATAACCGAGTGCGCCTGGTTTATACCTGTACCCATATACTCCCCTAATTAGTTAACCACTGAGCAAAACACAATTTCCCAGCATCATCTATGGAGACTAATTTTCCACCAAGCCCCCATGTTTCTCTGAACCACCTTCGTCCTGCCAGTCCTCCCCTGCCCCGAGCGGCCTTCCTCTTCCAGGCTGCTGTAATAATTCTATGGATCATTGTTTTAAACGTGCTCTTTATCTCTGGATCTGGCATTACTCTCTTTTCAAAGAGTGTGCGATTCCGATCCGTCCAGAAGACCCAGAATCCTACCGCCCTTACTGCCTGAGCAACATAGCCCCATCCGCTCCTGCGAGGGAGCTGTTCTGGAAGTCCACCCAATAGAACCCAGATCCTGTCCCACTTCAGCGCCCCCCCAGTCCACTCATCCCATCGCTCCGCCCACCAATTCCATATCCTTCTTGAAGCCGGACAGTCCCACCAAATATGCGGTGTTGACTCAAAGGACCAGAGACATCTCTTACACTGTGCTTCCACCTGCAGACCTCTGCTCATTAACCACACAGCTGATGGTGTGGCAAGCAGGGATGCGAGCCACAGCATACTTGCTGCCCTTGGATTCGGGGCCTCAGCAATCTGTTCCCAGCAGCATTGAATCGCCCGTGCAATGTCGCCCGCATCCTGCGGTAGAGTACAGGCCCATCTCTCTGTAGCTACCATCAGCGGGGTCCTTGCTGGCATTTGAACTGCATAGGCTAGTTTCACAGAAAACTCATCCAACTTTGCATTCTCCCCCCTTGGGGCTCTGCTCCTCCATGCCCATTGGTTCGGATCAGCCTTGAGTTCCTTAATGGGCTTCCCCTCCTTCCAGACCCTTACTTCCCATATCCCTTCCTCACTGTATTTCTCTCTTACTCTTACTTCTATCAATCTGCCCCTCAAAACTGTACTATACTCCTCCTCTCCCTCCTGCACCGCTAATTTTCCATCTGGTCCCATCAATCTCCAATTTTGCATCTTTCTGCTTCCTTCTGTACACTGTTCCACCACTTTCACAAACGAACGAGGTGTAGGGCTTAGAACATCTGCATCTGCACACAGCTCATACCAGGTCCCTGTCGGATTCGGTTGCGAGGGAGACAGTATCTGGTACCATTCCTCTGGAATTGCTTCCAGAACTTGCATTCTTCTTTGCCTGATGTATTTACCCGGTCTGAGTTCCCTCTCCATCTCACCCTCAGTAAGCCAGTTACCCGTCAGATCATCCCAGAGGTCTCTCACCCTTACTACCCCCTTTTCTACCCACGATCTTCCAAAATTGTCTGGCTTCCCGTTCGCCATCAGCGGATTCCCTCTTCAGTCCATGATTCGTGGATTCTCGAAAATTATCTGGGCCAGCACCTCCTGTTTCGTATGTGGCTCGCACAGCATGTCCGGCTTCACCTTTTTCCATGCTAGCAGGACTGCGCCCCAGAACTCCGATACTGTACGTCTTCTGAGGAAGGACTCGATCACCACGCAAGCCCAGACGTCTGCTGGGCGGGACAGTTGCCATTCCCTGCTGAGGATTCTCTCCGACTCCTGGCCCGACGGACGACTTCTGCACCACGGAGTCCGAGACGACCGTGCCATGCGTGCGACGCCACGACTCCGTCAATCGCGGCTTCCTAAAAATTTCAGTAGGTCAGGGGCAAGTAAAAAATTTAGGAAAATTTGCCAGGGGAATCCTAAATTCTTTAGGACGAGTCCTAACGCCGTTTTCACATTTTCGATCTCAAAAGCGGATCTAGGAATGCGTGAAACCACAATGCAATCCTAAAAACTGACATTTTTAGGAGTGTCTAACAAGACCCTTTTCTCGAAATATATAGCTGCTCGCTGCACTACTCTGGACTCTTGAAATATTTTGAGAATTCAACTAGCATTGTCAGAGAGGCAAGCCTCTCGAAATACCCGCCATTGCTGCACTTACTCTAGAACCTGTTAAACTAGATGCACTCTCGAAACCCTGGGTGTCGTCGGACTCGACTCAAGAGTTGTACCACTACGCTAGGCTGGTCTGGCCGCCGGGACAGGAGGTCTGTGACGAACCACTTTCTGTAGCGCGCGACTTTCTGCGCAACTATGTTGAGGGGTCCTAAAGTTGGGAAGGTTGGGCCAATTACGGGAGATCGGGATCGGTGGGAAATTGCATTAGTGTCCTTGCTTTTTCGTCTTTTTCGTCGCTTCTTTTCGAATGGCTGGGTTAGGAGCCGAGTGTGTCATAGGACGGCCGGTTGATTGATTGGTTGACCGACTGGCAGGCGCGCCGCCGTGCCCGCGATTGATAAATGTTGATGTCGTTTCTTTTGTTTCGGTTCCAAACTTTTGGGCGAGAACATCGCGCGGGAATTCGCTTCGTTCTTTTTGAATTTTGCTTTTAATTCTTTTTCGAATTTTGTCGAGCCCCGATGGCTCTCGGAATGTCGGACTTTTCTTCTGGAATTTGTGATTTTTGCTTCTTCGCATTAGACAGGAATTTAGGAATTTCATAATAGGATTTTCCTTGCCGCGCGGCGCTTTTTGTCTATGCGCTTCTTTATGCGGCTGCAACGGAACTCTGATTAGTAGGCGCCTTTAATCGTGACGCTGTGTGTAACTGTAATTTTGGACGGGCGCCATTGTAACTGTATCTTTCTTCTTGCACTTCGTCTTTCCCACCCTCCTTCTCTTTCTTGGTAGCCGCGGTCTGCGTGATCGGATCGCTGCGGGGAGAGCGACTACGTCCCCCACGCCGCGATCAGACCATGCAGATGTAGGCAATCCCTCCCCCTTCCCTTTTTCTAGGTCCTTGTAATTATGTGTCCTTCGCGCATGCATGCACGCTATAAATTCCGGCTGCGCGATTAGTTAACTCTCTTAACCAGCTGTTGGAAGCTCGGGGTTGCGCGATCAGAGAGGGTCGCCACACGAGTGAAGTAAGAGGTGAGTAGAGCAG